GAAAGGCAAGCTAAAAATTTATATCCGCACTATTTATCCCATGGAGGTTACAAGATGCTTGAGGAGAGGATCATGCAGGATGACTTTAAGGCGATGCAGGAAGCTGCAAAATCTAATCCTAGTATCGTTGTTCAGACCCCACCTCCCCTCCACGTCATAGAAAATGGAAGGAAGCAAGGATGAAGAAGGGTCAATATATTAATCCAGCAGTTGCTGAGATTGCTAAAAAAATTGTAAGTTGTATACATCAAATAACTTTAACTTATGGTAATATTCTTTATATTTTATTATTAATTTTCTATTATACTGTCATTAATTTTTTATCATACTTAAAATGTTATAGGAGGTACTTGAAGAGCAAAGCAGTGAAGGTTCATTTAGTCCGAGTGGAAGGATGGACATTTTAGCGACAGCGATTGGGAAGCCTGATCACCCCAGACGCGTTAGAGGAGAAGGGAGGACAGTTGGTCTTACCCAATATTTTGGACAAACTTCACGAGCTTCTCTCTACGAAGTCAACCCACTGATGAGATGATAGCTAAACTTCGAGACCAAGTTCGTGATGAGCTCCAATCTGAGCTAGAGGTCAAGATTGAAGCCCAGTTACGCCAGTCACTTCGAAAAGAGCTTATGGCTGAGCTTCGTGATGAGATGAAATCTATGGTCTCTAGCATGCAAATTGGGACAGTTTAACAACAATGCACACCCTAGGTTTGTAATCAATTTCACTTAAATTAATGTTGAGTTTTACCAACGCTTTTTTAATTTAATTTAATACTTGCATTTCTCTCATTTAGGATTCCCCCGTCTTTCGTAGCACTAAAAACAGTTGTAATCCACCGGGGTCATTGGGAGAGCATGATCCTAGTAGTCCCACACCGGACTTTGGACAACCTTGTTGTCTTCGTTTAGAGGTCCCAAGGATGCGTGTTGTTGCTGACGCTCTCCTCTACAATCAAGGGAGCACTATCCATCACCAACATATTCAAGAGGACCAAGCGAGGGTTACAGTTACGACTGTTCGAGAGGAGAGACAGGTGCGGATGTGCCATTCCCGACTGCTGAAGTTGTGAAGTTAGGTCAGGCAATTGGAACTTTCATTCTTTGGCCTAGACACCTTGTTGATGAGGAGATAATACCTGTGATGGTAAGAAAATGTTATTCTATTTATGTGTATTTTTTTTAACATAATACTTATAATACTTAATGTTTATTTGATGTTTCATTAGGACCAGGAAGATGTTAATAGATATCCCTGCTTGGCACAATTATATGAGGAATATAAAACAATTAACAAGGTCGACATAAATGCCTGTAGGGATTGTGGGTGAAGAAAATTATATTTCTTTAGACTTGACAACAAAGACATCAGGGATTTCTTATCCTTGAAGGAGTTGGACATAGCATGGGTTCAATTAGCAATCATGTAAGTTTACCTTTTTATTTCTAACTTAAATTTCTAATTTCTTACTTTCACATACTAATAATTATCTTATTTCAATTCAATGATAGCTTCTTCCATAACAAATACATGTCATCAATGGAGAAGAGAAATTTGTATGGATATTTATGCCCTGCAAGTGTCCAGAAGAAGTACAACCCACTAGATAGGAGAATCAGATATGTGGGCAATACGATTGGAGACACTAAATTACCTTGTTATTTGGCACCAATTATTGAAGGGCAAGTAGCTTAATTATATTTATTTATACATACTTAAATTGTTAAGAATTATTGTGATATCCAGTAATGTATAAGTCTTACTCTATGATGCAGTTGTCATTGGAGTTTGTGTGTTTCTTGTCCCATTGACAATGTCATCTACTGGTTTGATCCCTTGGGTCGTCGTCCAAGCAGTGAGATGAGGGGCGTTTTCAACACGTAAGTACCTTAATGTAGATCAATAATTTTGTTTTCAATATAAATTATTTAACTTGTGCTTTCATTTGCTTATAGGGCTTTAAAGACTTATTATATAACCGGTGGGAAGCGTTTCCGGGAAAAATGGCTCAACAACTTGGGTATATCCTAGTGTGAGTACTTTAAATTGAAGTTCTTTCATTGATGGCAGTTATTTTATATATGAATTTGGATTATCATTTCCTTGTGATTTGCAGTGTGCTAAGCAACAAGGGCCAACAGAGTGCGGATATTACATTATCCGTTATATGTTTGAGATTATTGAGAGCAGATGTATTACAAAATTTGATGAGGTAAGTAAATATAATTTTAGTTTTGTAATAGTTGAATTTTTAAATTGAATTGTTACTTATTTTATTTTCTTCCTATGTTTAAATTTGTTCATTTGTCAATTTACAGATTTTTGATAATGATTGTTCATATACTATTGATGACATTAACTTCATCCGAGACCTTTTGGCACAGCAACTGCTTCAAGAATTGTGGTCCAAGGATTGAGCAAGTTTATGTTTAGAGACAATAGGATCAATATTGACTTTTGTAATTTGTTCTTCTTTTTTGACTAGTTAGTTAATTAATGTGTCTATATAGATGAAGTTATGATGTCGATATGTCTTGGCTGAAAATATTGACTGGTTCATACTATTTCAACTTGCTGGAAAGTGGCTATTATGGCTATTGTGGTTGTAGGAGAAGCAGTATATACGAACTGAATCTTTTTTTTTAAAAAAAACAGAGTACATTCACGTCTGTTCAGCGAAAAAAACAGACGTTATTCACATCTGTTTCTTTTAAAAAAACACGTCAATTCACGTCTGTTTCGAAAAACAGACGTGAATTCACGTCCGTTCCAAACAGAAGTAAAAGGGGGTACTTTTTAGATCCCTTCTTTTCATGTCCCCTGCAAAACAGACGTAAAAAGTCATGCAAATAGAAGTAAAAAGTCTTCATTGTAGTAGTGATAACACGTTTTTCCTAAAACACCATAATCATATTCCTTAGTATCCTCTCTCCCTCTTCTACTTGATTATGGTTGAGGGAGATCCATAAGAGTAATTTAGAAAAATTGATAAATATTAAAAATAGATCTTATATTTAAACCAAAATCAACTTAACAATTAGGTCATACCGGAGGAGTATCATGTTTGGAAGGAGCTTTTGACATTTATGTGCTAGCTTTTCATTTGGTCACTCTATAACGCTAAAACGTGAATAGAAATTTCGTCAAAAGTGTCTGGTTAGAAATGAACTAATCATGTACAGGTATCTAAAGACTTATAAGTCTTTGAGTGGGTACAATTTTTCTTTCTTTACCGTGTGTAATAACTTTTAATTATATGCTTTGCACACATGGATACCTGAATGCCAAGTATAGTTAATGGATTTGTTTAGCAAACATAATCTTAAGACAATTCAGAGATAGCATATATGGAGACCCATATGTGTGTACTATTATTCTCTCCATCTTTCCAAAGACACAATTCCCCCCTTTTGCATTATCTTTTTTCTTCGAATTTTACAACCTCTTTATATATGACTAAAAGTTCCATAAATCTTTGTGAAGGCGTGGAAGTCGGGTACGGACGGACGGTTTAAGAAGATTTTTTGTATTTTATCACTACATTTATATTTTATTTTTTTTAAAATATACTTAACCACGTAAAAACAAAGAATCTTAATGAAAATAATACAAGAAAGTTATATTTTATATCAAGCGATCATATGATGATTTGAAAGGCCAATTCTTACATGAATTAATCACATTATTCTTGGACATGCCTGCAAGACTATCACAAATGGAAATGAATAAAAAAACAGAAAAATAATGTGTTTGACAGAAAGGCACTTCGCATTACTTGTATAGAACATACACACACACTGAAAAAACAATGATATATTTTTTAGAAAACAATGAAATATAAAATATAAAATACCCCCAAAATACCCCTGTTCCTTCAATAATCCTCTCCCTGGACAGCAATAGAGTAAAAATCAATAATAAAATCATTCTGATGTTTCAAAAATCAACTTATTACAAACTCATAAATCATCAAAACAAAACCAATAAAAGAAGAAGATGAACGAGCAGATCCAAGTACCTTAGATCTTCTGCTGCACTTTTCTATAATACCACTACAAAGCAATAACTTGTAAAGAAAAACACACTCGTTCTTCATCATTTATTTTATTGTAAGTTAAAATCATAAACTGAACATATTTAAATTTTCAAAATTAATTTCTTTATAATTATATAATTTGATATTTATAGCATATTTATAAATAAAAAATACATGATAATATTTTTGTCAAAGTTTAGCATCTATTATTTATATTTTCTTTTTTAAAAAATCGATTGGAACACTTGTCTTTTTAACTTTTGGAGAGAAAGGGATGCATGTATGTAACATGTCAAACTAGAAGATAAAATTATATAATTTAGACGCACAAAGTCTTACAGATAAAAAATAATTTACTCAATAATTTATATATATGATAAGAAATTCAAAGCTGGTTATGTGAGTAAAAGACTAAAAGAGAACACTAAAAAAAACACCCCCATACGCTCACAACCATACACAAAAATCGTCCTTGAAGATTAAACGAAACGTATATTTTGTCCATTTTAATATATATATATATATATATATATATGTGTTGTGTGTGTGAGAGAGAGAGAGAGAGAGAGAGAGAGACCCTGCCGGTAATGAACCTATAAACATAATCGTGTAAAGTTGGACCAGAAAGTTGCTGGTTGAAAGAAGAAAAGGTCTGCGCAATTCCACTATACTTCCCTTTATCATTTGAGATGTTATGTTCAAGAACAACAACTTTCGGATCATCATGATGACATATATATATATATATATATATTATAAAACACAAACTAAAAAATGAATTTTGTTTGCATTATAGATTCAGATCATTCACTACATCTGGAACTGAACGAGCTTTCACCGATCGTATCCAAATGGGTTTCCATGGCTGAACTCCATGGCCATAAGGGCTTCTTCTTCCTCCTCCTCCTCTCCTTCTTCCACCTTGCAATCTCCAAGCCGATACTGAAACTCTATCTCTATGGCTCAACCCAGGTGACTCGCCAGAGGGACGCCGCCGCCAAGCCGCGGCGGCTTTCCATTTTCCTCTTCGGCTAAGCTCACAGTACTCGTAGTTGTTTTAGCTATGGCAGTGAGCCGCTTGGCGAGGGAGGCCAAGTCGACAGGAGAAACATCCGCCTGCAGGACGGAGCACGGTAGCTTAAAGTAAACCTCCCCTGGCTGGAGCCGCACGTCAGCCTTCAACGGCGTCCCCGACGACGCCAGAAGGTGAAGCGTCGTACAAACGATGTGCTTCGGAGGATCGCCGGTGAGTTGTCTCACTGAAACTGGCTCCAGAAAGTCTTCCACGTAGCCGTTGAGATGAACGACACGAACATTATTCTTAAACGCAGACGAGGACGGCGACTTCGACGATGACGAGGATCTACAAGAAGAAACGCAACCTCCCATCTGGATCCGATCGATCAAGATGGTTTGGTGAAGAAAGGTTTAGTTTGAAAGCGTGAAATAGAGATATTTCCAAGTGGGGTTTATATAGAAAGGATGAATCCAAACTTTAAGCTTAAGAAATGGCCACTAGATAGGTAACCTTACCCTACCAATTATTTTGAGGTGCCTTTTTTCAAGGTTGAAAATGGAGCAAGTCAACGCACACATGCTCTGTACTCTATCAACAAGTTGTGTGTTATTTTTTTTTCCAAAATTTTTAAAAATATTTGAACTCTAACTTAAAAATCTATCCGTACTATGCGAGTACTATCTCCCCACGTTTTTAATTATAAACAGTTCCTTAAGGAATCTTATAATATATACTACTTCTGATGTTAAATATAAGATCTAAATTATAATGTAATTTACACTATAAATTTGGTTTTATATTCAGGTTATAGCTAGCTACCACCCGTGATTAGGTTGAGTAAGGGTTAAAAAATTATGATTAATTCCATGTCTCACGTGTGAAAAAGAAAAAAAAAATTCACGTGAAAGAGCCATATTTTACTTGACTCTAATTATACTCAAATTTCACTCGGTTGATATAAGATACTAATATATATTCATATTACATTTGTGTGTGTGTATAATATCAAATCCTCAAAAAGTCACAATATTCATTAATATAATATAATAACTCATCTCAAACCTTTTTGTAAAGTTAAAAACTTATATTCAAGATTATAAAATATAAACATATATTGTAGGTTTTGAGGCTTTTTTTTTTTTTTTATAATCTATCTAAATATTTGGCATTATACTAAAGGCAAATTTGAAATTCTGCGAGATTAAGTTAAAAATAAATCTTATTTTTATTTTTTCTTACATAATGTTTGTCCCTTTATTTAAGAGAAATGGAATCTCTCCCACTTGACCAATAATTATTAGTGGTTTTTAATATTATACTGGGTTTAATTTTATTAGAATTTTTAATAGGAATGTGGCTCTTGCAACCTTTATATGTTATTAATTTAATTTTAATTTTCACACTTAATGTTAATTAATTGTCGTTTAGCCTCAAGCCGGCAGAAAGGTATTTCTTTTCAAAGTATGAAAAGTATGTGTATTGGATAGGCCCTTTGAGTGAAAGATTGAGATATTAGAAACGACGACTTTTCCTATGTTGGGACAAAAGGGAGTTTCAATAATTTATGTTATATATGTAACTGTAAAGACATTTTTAGTCTGTTTTATTTTCTTTAATAAAATAATTTATCATCTCAAATTAAATAAGTTTCTCATTTGATTTGAATGTGACAATCAAATTTAGAGGTTTGATAGGGGCCTCATACCATAGCCATTTATAATTTATTAAGTCTTTTTTCTTTTTAATTTTTCTCAAAATTAAAAAAGTCATGAATCTTTTTGTACAATCTATATACAATTTTGGTCGGTTTTTTAATTTGATAATGTGTCTTTACATCCCCTAATTCTAATGATAACATTAAATTTTAAATATTAGCTAAATATTTTTAAATGTTGACATATTAAGTTAGGAATATTCTAATTAAATCAAGCTAAAATACTAAAATCTAATTCATGGCCTACACGGTTAATATTGATGGGAACCAAAAAAAAAGGTTATTTAACACTAGCTATATTAGGATTATAAGATTTAAAATATATTTAAAATTAAAATATTATATAAAGTTTCACTTTACCTTAAATTTAAGAGCATAAATTTAGAGAGGCAGTTGCGGCGTTGTTAGCAATTCATGCTATGTGCCTTTGCGGTATCTTGTACATACACGCCATGCATTAATTAATCAATTAATAAATTTGATATATTTATATTAATTAATATTTTAAGTCATCTTCTAATGATCCATTCGCCTTCAACAGAAGACGCATTACGTTGTGATTGATAAATGATGTTCAACGATATTGAAATTTTAACTGCTTAAAATTGATATTTTTTCGGACCAGGAAATACTTAAAATTGGTTTCCCATAGTTGATTTGCCAATTTTATAAGTTTTCTATTTTTCTTTTGACAAGAGCCAATTTTGTTGGTTTTTTTTTTTGGCATCTTTTATCGAACGAAAAGAGCTCACATAATAGTACAGTGCTTATTAAATATGTAGACGGTTATATATGCATTTAATCAAATTTTAATTTTGATTCTTATAGTTTCATAATATATTTTTTTAGTTTGAGTTTAACAAATAATTCTTATATTTTTAACGAATTTTGATTTTAGTCCTTATACTTAGACTGAATCCTTGTGAAACCATAAGGACCAAAACTAAAATTAAATCAAATTGTAAGAACTGATAATCATATTTAACCCAATTGAAAGTTGAACTTGGCACACAAACGTAGTATCTTGTGTCCAATTTATAATTTTATACTTTATAAGCTTGAACTAACGTAAAAAAATCAATATATATATCACAACTCATAAACAATAGCAAGAAATACCTTTAAAATGATACTATCTCCGGCCTGTTTATAAGAAATAATTTATAGTTCAAATTGAATTATAAGTTGCTTTTTAATAATTAGTTAGTTGGTAATTAACCAGATAATTATGATGAAAAAAGAAAGAAAGAAAAAAAAGCAAATGGCTTTAATGATTTTTTACTTTATAATGACAGAATTACCAAGTTGGTCTGAAAGTTGACTTTATAAACCTCAACTTTTTGAGAAAATGCTTTTCAACTTGGCAACTGGAGAAATGCTTCCGCATTTCAAACATGACCATGATTTACCCACTGAGAAGTAATGACCAAAAAAATTATTTAGCAGTTATTATAAATATTTAATTCATATAACGACAAAATTAAATAAAAGTAAATTTGCGATGAAATTTTGAGAAGGATCTTTTAGTAACAGATTTTTGACACATTTAGCTTTTGTAACAGATATGCAGTAGATATACTCTTTTGGTCATTAATATAAGACTTATTTAACTAATTTGATTAGATTAAAGAAGTTAGGTAAGTTAGTTAATTATAAAAAATTTTTTTTCCTAAAACACCAAATCAACTTTCTTATATCCTTCCCCCCTCACTTAATTATTGTTAAGAGAGTATTCATAGGGTAATTTAGAAAAATTGATAAATATGAGAATAGGTCTTATATTTAGGGAAAAAATTTTTAAAACAAATTTAGGACCAAAATTAACTTAACAATTGAATTTTATATTAATGACCGAAAGAGTATTATTCTATTGCAATATTCGTGGTTGCAAAAAAATTGAAATATTTCTGAATTATTTTGCTGCAACAAATTTTGTGTTATATACTTCTATATTAAGTACCGGAGGACCATGATCTTTTGTGACAGATTTTATTGTGTGGATAGTTTTATTTTAGAATTTCATATAATAAATTTTAAAATATCTTGATTTTTTTCTTAAATAATTTGTTTATTGACTATATCTTCATACAATAATTAAATTTTCTGCATTCAGATCTTAAAATTTCCCCAAAAAAAAAATTGTCATAGCAGATACACATCCTCTATGGGTGTAGCATATAATTGATATTACAATTTTCTTTTCAAATATCATTTTTAATCACGTTGAGAGTGTGAGATTATTGAAAGTGACTATAAAGTTTTAAGATCCAAAAATTTTATTTCTAGAATTTATTTATTTTTAATTATGTTTGTGCAGTAGTAATACAATAATAACGATCCATTTAAACATTATTAAAGGTAACTTGTAATAAAAAGTGTCAAATACAATATTTAACTCAAACTGTCACAAATTAGCACATGGCTATGCCTAAGAGCTTGAGACAAGATGTGCAAGTTGACCCTCCTTTCATGCTCACATATAACTCCTTCATTATTATTTAATTCTAAATTAAATTGTCGTATTGAAGTCACCAATTGATCATGTGAACCAAATTTTGGTCAATTCATTGAAAATTTTAAAGATGAAGAAAACCCTTCGTGAGGATTAAAAAATAATGGAATGTTAAAAGAAACTTAAAACTTGTTGGGATAGACAAAACTCTTTGCGCTCTAAGCTTCATCAAATCAAACTTAAAATAAGTTGAAGATAATTCTAATCAACTTGCCAGCCGAAAAGATGGAAAAGATAAATCGAGAAGATTGGGGGAGAAGCCCAAGTTGGTTTATTGTTATTTGAAATTAAAAAAAAAAACAAATTTAATAAATTCTATAGTCATAATATAAAATTTTGTGAGTATATAAAATATTCAGCTTGTCCGATTTTGTGCTTGAATTCATTACAAGATACACTCCCCGATCTAAATATAAGACCTTTTTTGTAGTGTAATTTATACTATAAAAAGGGTCCTATCAAATTCTTACAAAATGGATCTTATATTTAGGATCAGAGGAATATTAAATTCTTACTATGAGTTAGTCCATCTTATTTTGGTTTTCATTCTATCAAGGGTTGAAAATTATGTGATTTTGTTTCATTTCATTTTATTTTGTTAATTTTGTGATTGTTAACATATATGATTTGTATTAGAAAAAACATCAGGCCAAGTATGAATACAAAACTAAAAGGCAACAAATAGTTCTCGATGCTTAATGGGCCGTTCATTAGGCCCAGTATTTCACATTGGGCCTCACCCTTATTGAGAACCGCATCCCTTAGCCTAAATTGAATGACTTATTCTTACCAAAAACAATAATTGACTGACATATGGGGCCTCCACCTCATCAGCATTAGGAGCAGGTCCCTGTTGTAGGAGTTCCCAAGTTATGGGGCCTCAATGGCTCATTTTAGTAATTGAATTATTTATTTTTTGTCAACTTAAATAAGTTTAGTTCCCAGTTTAATTGAATTATTTAAGTTTAGTTCCCAAGTTTAAACTTAAATAATTAAAATGGTATGGGCTTCCCATTACAATTTTAGGCCGGACCATTTAGTGTTTGTTTTCACATTTGGTCTCTAATCATCTTCACTCTCATTCACTCCTTTTTAATGTCCATGGGACCTTTCATTTTTATTTTTATTTTTTTTAACATATGGGGCCTCAATGGCTCATTT